ACTGGGAGAGGAGTGGTGGCCACACTGGGAGAGGAGCGGCGGCCACACTGGGAGAGGAGTGGTGGCCACACTGGGAGAGGAGCGGCGGCCACACTGGGAGAGGACAGGAGGCCACACTGGGAGAGGAGTGGTGGCCACACTGGGAGAGGAGTGGTGGCCACACTGGGAGAGGAGTGGCGGCCACACTGGGGGAGGAGCGGCGGCCACACTGGGAGAGGAGTGGTGGCCACACTGGGGGAGGAGTGGTGGCCACACTGGGAGAGGAGTGGTGGCCACACTGGGAGAGGAGCGGTGGCCACACTGGGAGAGGACAGGAGGCCACACTGGGAGAGGAGCGGCGGCCCCACTGGGAGAGGACAGGAGGCCACACTGGGAGAGGAGCGGCGGCCACACTGGGAGAGGAGCGGCGGCCACACTGGGAGAGGAGCGGCGGCCACACTGGGAGAGGAGCGGCGGCCACACTGGGGGAGGAGTGGCCACACTGGGAGAGGAGTGGCGGCCACACTGGGGGAGGAGTGGCCACACTGGGAGAGGAGCGGCGGCCACACTGGGGGAGGAGCGGCGGCCACACTGGGGGAGGAGTGGCCACACTGGGAGAGCGGCGGCCACACTGGGAGAGCGGCGGCCTAGTAGTTAGGGCATAGAGCTTGGATCCCAGAGGTTATGAGTTCGAACCCCGCTCCCACTGACTGCCACTCTGGGTCCCCGAGTCCCCACTCTGCTCCCCGGGCGCCGCACAATGGCAGCCCACTGCCCCCCAAGGGTTAGGGTTAAATCCAGAGAGTGAATTTCGTTGTAAATGTGACAGAAAATGACAATAAAGTTGAATTCCATTCTATTCATTGCATTTAACAGGTAAACGCTACATTTCTCCCTCCGGCCCTTTAGGGGGCGCACTACGTTTACAGTGGGTTTGCTGCCACATGGACAGAGAGAGACCTGCAGCTAGTAGCAGCTCCATGCACCCTAACCGAAGTCGTGCAGCAAAGGACTCTGGACCGCAGACCTTGAAGGTCCTGAAAAACCCCTGCAGTGAAACATCAGCAGGAAAATATCGCCAACTCGTTCATTCTCAGGTGAAAGTTAGCCCGCTGGCTACCTGGGAACCATGCAGTGGAAAAGCAGCGCCTTGGCTAACCTGTAGAGGGGGTTGAGGGCGATGATGTCCCGGATGGTCTTCACTATTTCAGCTGTCAGCGCCTGCGGAGACACGCAGTCTGAGAACATTCCACCATCACTGCGACGGCTCCCACCTGCGTGGCTCAGGGCGCTACCTTAACCTCCTCTGTGACCGTGAACTGCTCATGCTGGACGTTATCCACTTCAACCATCAGGATGCTGGAGGAGGGTAAAGGCTGGAGCTCTGGACTCAGGTCAGCATCTGCAACCTGATCAACAAACACTTCAATGCCTGTTTAACCACACGGACCTTCAGCAGCAATCCCCCAGGAGGTGGTGCCGCCTTTCCTCCTGAGGATCGTCAGCGGTTAGCATTCGTTCAAAGGTCCAGACAGAAGGACGGATCTAAAACAGCTCAGAGTTTTCCTGCTTCCTTGTTACAGAACCTGGAGCAGCGGAGGGTTTTCACCACCTCTACAGCTAAGCACCGTGTTCGCATTCAGCATTGATTAGCAACAGAACGCTAAGCAGCGTGTTAGCATTCAGCAGTGATTAGCAGCAGAACACTAATCAGCGTGTTAGCATTCAGCTGTGATTAGCAACAGAACGCTAAGCAACATGTTAGTATTCAGCTGTGATTAGCAGCAGAACGCAAAGCAGCGTGTTAGCATTGAGCTATGATTAGCAGCAGAAGGCTAAGCAACATGTTAGCATTCAGCTGTGATTAGCAGCAGAACGCAAAGCAGCGTGTTAGCATTGAGCTATGATTAGCAGCAGAAGGCTAAGCAACATGTTAGCATTCAGCTGTGATTAGCAGCAGAACGCAAAGCAGCGTGTTAGCATTGAGCTATGATTAGCAGCAGAAGGCTAAGCAA